TTGGAGAATTTTGAGCATTACTTTACTAGTGTGTGAGATGAGTGCAATTGTGCAGTAGTTTGAGCATTCTTTGGTATTGCCTTTCTTTGGGATTGGAATGAAAACTGACCTTTTCCAGTCCTGTGGCCACTGCTGCGTCTTCCAAATTTGTTGGCATACTGAGTGTGTAGCACTTTCACAGAGTCATCTTTCAGGATTTGAAATAGCTCAACTGGAATTCCATCCCCTCCACAGCTTTGTTCATAGTGATGCTTCCTAAGGCCCACCTGACTTCACATTATATGTATAGAATTAAAAAAAAATAACTATATAAGGAATTCTTGCTGTGCTCTAAGGGTATTTGTAAAATGAAGTCATCAGATGCAGAAAAATGGGGGTCAATCACATGAATGAAAAAATTGAGTTTTTCTGAATATTGCTTAGTCCGTTTATTATAACAGCAAGAGTTTGGAAGTCTTGACATTTGACAGAGCTGTGGGTCCTGTCACAACAGACATGCCCCGAAATCACAGGACTGAGCTCAGAAGATCTCAAAGCAGACTCCACTTCCAAGAAGAGAACTCCGGAATTTTATAGCTGGAAAGTGAAAGTGTTAGTTGCTCAGTCGTTTCTGACTGTTTGCAACCCCACGGACTGTAGCTCACCAGGTTCCTCTGTTCATGGGATTCTTCAGGCAAGTATACTGGAGTAGGGAGCCACTGCCTTCTCCAGGATGGTTCTGACTCAGGAATCAAACCCGGGTTTCTTGCAAAACAGGCGGATTCTTTACCATCTGAGCCACCAGGAAGAGAAGCATTTTTCTGAATTTTTACATAAAATTCCAGAAAGATATACAAAGGAAGCAACTTGACATTTCTTTTCAAAAGGTGATTTTTTTTAATAGGTCACTTTTTTCTCTTCTGTTTTGGTGGGTGAAAGGGGAGGACTCCTTCCTAAGGGCTGTTGGAAAAGCTTTCATTGCTAGGCATGAACATTTTAATAACAGCTTTATCAGTAATGTGGAGGCCAGGGTGCCTGTTCTCACCATTCACATCTATGCAAATTTCAGGTTGCCAGGCAACAACAGAAAAAAAGCAGGGGCCCCTGGTCAACTCAGGCCAAGCATCTCTCTAGACTCGCCCATCCTCAGAGGCAGAGCCTTGCCCTGTGAGCATCCACATCCCCTCCATCGCCCAGCAACCACACCCCCCCACCCCCTGCCCCATGAGAAGAGGGCAGGTCTACCTCTCGGAGTGGTAGGATGACTTTGCAGCAGCCGGCCTCCTTGCTGGCAAAGCAGATGTAACTGTCGGAGGTGAACATCTGCCCGGCGGTGTGACAGCGGCTGAACGGGGTCCAGAGGGAACAGTCCAGGACGGCGTGCAGCTTCTCCCGCCTTGGCAGCCTGAAGAAGGCCCGGAAGAACTCATTCTGTGCCCGAGCTTCCAGGTCCCTGGCAGAGGAGGGAGAAGGGGGAGAGGCAGACATGTGACTGAACTCACTAGATTATAAATAAAACACTTTTAAACCCCTGGCACAACCTGATATAGAAGGGGATGCAGAAAGGTGCGAGGCCCCAGTTCCTGCACCTCTCTAGCCCCTCACCACCCCACGGCCAACCTTTGGAGTGAGAACCAGAGGCCGAACAAGTCACCTCTGCAGAGAGGTGATGCAGCAAACACAGGCCAGGGCAAGTCTGCCTTCCTGGCCTGAGTACACCATGAATTATCACAAAGCAAACGTGTAAGAATCCAGTATGAACTCTCCTACTCTGTTGGTGGAAATGTAAATTGTTGCAGCCACTGTGGGGAACAGTGTGGAGGTTCCTTAAAAAACTGAAAATATGCTGATGTTTGGTAGCAACCAACACAATACTGTAAAGCAATTATCCTTCAACTAAAAATAACTAAACTTTTAAAAAAACTAAAAATAGACCCTGAAATCATATGACCCTGAAATCCCACTTCTGGGCATATATTGGTAAATGGAAATGGTAACTCAAAAAGATACATATACCCAAGTATTCACTGCAGCACTGTTTACAAGAGCCAGGACATGGAAGCAACCTCAATGTCCATCCACAGTTGAACAAATAAAGAAGATGTGGTATATATAACATATACAGCAGAATATTACCCATACATAAAAAAAGAATGAACTAATGCCATTTGCAGCAACAGGAATGGACAGAGAGAGAGTATCATATTAAATGAAGTAAGACAGAGAAAGACAAATACCATATCTATCACTTATTTGTAGGATCTAAAAAATTGTACAAATGAACTTATTTACAAAATAGACTCACAGACTTAGAAAACACACTTATGATTACCAAAGGGGAAAGGCAGGGTAGGGGTAAATTAGAAGTTTAAGATTAACACACACACACTACTATGTATGAAACAGGTAATCACAAGAACCGACTGTATAGCACAAGGAACTCTACTCAATACTCTGATAATCCATATGGAAAAAGAATCTTAAAAAGAATGGATACATGTATATGGGGAGCTGAACCACTCTGCGGGACACCTGAAACGAATACGGCATTGTAAGCCAACTACTGCGCTGCGCTCAGTCACTTCCGTCATGTCCTACTCTCTGTGACCCCATGGACTGCAGCCCGCCAGGTCCTCTGTCCATGGGATTCTCCAGGCAAGAATACTGGAGTGGGTTGCCATGCCCTCCTCCAGGGTATCTTCCCGACCCAGGGATCGAACCCATGTCTCTTGTCTCCTGAACTGGCAGGTCTTTTCTTTACCACTGAGCCACCAAGGAAGTATCTAATATAAAATCAAAATTAAATTAAAAAAACAAGATCTAGAGAGAGAACCTTAAAGTGCCAGTGAAAAGCAGAAGCTGGCCACCCAAGGAGCCTGCACACATTTACTGGCTTCAGGGCCCCCAAGACTCTCTCCTGAGATGAATTGTGTGAGGTCCCCCTAAAATAGTGCGCTATCCTTATCTCACCCCATCCTTTACATCTTCAGAATTGATATTTCCTGGTGAAGTGTCAGGGCCACTCAACCTGTTCCTCGTTCCCGCCCTCTGGAAAGCCCCCTCCCAGGCCTCGCCCCACTGGCCCCCTGTGGCCCCCTGGATCCCGAACCTGCATCAGGAGGGTCAGGCGGTCCTCTGGAGAGTCCTGCAGCCCTAACGTGTCTCAGGGACCCGGGGGACGGCGCCCCATCCCCTCCTCCCTGCTCCCCGGGGAGGTCCGAGCTCGCGCTGCTCTGTGCCCCGAAGTTCCAGGGGAGCACCCGAGCAGCAATCATGTCTAACCCGTAATCCGACCCTAAGGGCACCTTCAAAGCCAGGGTCTGGGAACGGAAGGAAAGCTACATCAACAAAAGGGGGAGGAGCATTCCAGCCCCACACTGTGCCCTGAGCAAGGAGAGCCTGTTTTCCTCAAGTTCAACCTGGGCTGTCCTGGCAGGATGTCAAGTTGACTGAGTCATTACCTGTTTACGGCCTCAGGCTGACGTCTCCAGGACAGAGAGCTCCAAGTGAGGACCTGCCAGGAGCTGGCGGGAACGACATGCCTTTCACTTTTGGAGGAAGTCCCTCAAGTGCAGTGACCGGCAAAATACACCACGGACCAAGACCCTGACGTCCACCTTGGGGCCCCAGACACCCGAGGGCCAGGCAAACCCACCAGTGGCCATCGCTGAGGTCCTTTGTGCCCCTTCTCTCCTCTCCTTTCTGCAAGTTTCCAGAACTTGGGGGTGGGGCCGACAGTCTTGTAGAATTCACCTGTTTCTGCAAGATTCTCAACACAGATGAGTTTTGTTCCAACATGGATGATGTCTCCTAAAGGGTCCTAAGTGCTACAAGCCTTCCATTTTCCTTTCCTTTGCTCATTTCTACCCCAAATTAAAAATGCCTCCCCGGAAGTACAGTCATGATAGAACATCAGGAACTGTGTGAAGAATCGCCTGCGATCCCAAGCCCGTGGACAGACCAGAGCACTTCAGCTGTGAGCTGGCCTCCCCATCTGTGTGCAAACGTGGTGAAAGACGTCAAAGCTCTCCTTGGTGGTTTCCATGAGTGCTTTTCTTTCTGTTCACATTTATTTATTTGGCTGCACCCAATCCTGGCTGCATCATGTGGAAACTTCAATCTTCATTGCAGCATGCAGGACCTTTGGTTGAGGCATGGGACTCTTAGTTGCGGTATGTGGGCTCTAGTTCCCTGATCAGGGATCGAACCCAGGCCCCTGGCACTGGCAGCACAGTCTTAGCCACTGGACCACCAGGGAAATCCGTCCTTGAGCTCTTGAACAATGCATACAACAGGGATGGCTTTCTTCATTTTTAACAGATCTTTGTAAGCTGGACTAAAAACACTTAGGTATCAAATTAGAGACAGCTAAAGAAATATGGGAGAGAGACGACCCTCTGTACTGGGTGTCTTCTGGGTCCTGAGATGGAGCGGGACTCGGTGATGGGAAGCCTGGGGCCAGAGGTACAGAGAGGAGCTAGGGGCTGGGAGTCAGAAGACCAAAGGGTCCCCTTTCATAAGAGGGGTGAGCGGCATCCACACTCCACAAAGAGCTCTCAGATTATCGGAAATGACACAACAACGAGTGAAACTCAGTGGGATTTTACCCAAAACTCCACTTTTGTTTTCAAAAGTGATCAATTTACAATATACACATGGCAGGAAGTGTCTTTGAATCCTTTCCGAACACATGAAAACTCTTAGACACTGCCTGCCATTCAGACACCACTAATTAAAAAGACACACATTCCCCTAAATGCCCTAAATGTTCAGAGAAGACGGTAGACATTGTAGTCTGCCAGGCTCCTCTGTCCATGGAATTCTCCAGGTCAGAATACTGGAGTGGATAGCCATTCCCTTCTCCAGGGGATCTTCCTGACCCAGGGATCAAACCTGCATCTCCTGCATTGCAGGCAGCTTCTTTACCACTGAGGCATCAGGGAGCCCTTAAGCAATGTTAAGCAATGTTAAAAATAGATGGATGTTTTAAAAAAGCCTTAATGAGGAGTGGCTCCTAAAAAATTAAACTAGAATTACAATATGATCCAATAATTCTACTGGTGGGCATGTGTCCAAAAGAACTGAGAGCAGAGTCTTGATGAGGTATTTGCACACCCACATTCACAGCAACATTATTCAGAACAGCCAAAGGGAGAAGGAGCTCAGTATCCACTGGGTAAGCAAAACGCAGTACATATGTACAATGGAGTGTTGCTATTCAGTCTTAAAAAGGAAGGAGATTCTGACAATCTACAGGGTGGATGAACCTTGAGGACATTAGGCAAAGTAAAATAGGACAGTCACACACACACACCCCACAAACAAATTCTTTAGGATTTCACTAGAGGAGGCAGATCACAGACACAGAAAGTAGAAGAGGGGGGTGCCAGGGACTTGGGGATGGGTGGGGAGTCAGTGTTGAATGCGGACAGAGTTCAATTTTGAAAGACGAGATCTCTAAAGATGAATGGTGGTGATGATTACACAGCAACATGAATGTACTTAATACCACCGAACCATAGGCTGAAAAATGATTAAGATGATCACTAATGATTAGGAAAATGCAAATCAAAACCACAATGAGACATCACCGGGCACAGGTCAGAAGAGTTGTTACCAAAACGAACAATAGCGATAAATGTTGGTGAGGATGTGAAAAAAAAAAAAAGGGAAACCTTTACACTGTTGGTGGGAATGGAAATTGGTGCAGACACTATGGGGAAGAGTATGGAGGTTCCTCAGAAAACTAAAAGACCATATGACCAAGTAATTCCACTAAGATCACGGCATCTGGTCCCATCACTCATGGCAAATAGATGGGGAAAAAATAGAAAAGTGACAGACTTTATTTTCTTGGGCTCCAAAATCATTGTGGATGATGACTACAGCCATGAAATTAAGACATTTGCTTCTTGGAAGAAAAGTTATGACAAACCTAGACAGCATATTAAGAAGCAGAGACAGCACTTTGCCAGCAAAGGTCAAAGCTGTGGTTTTTCCAATAGTTATGTATGGGTGTGAGAGCTGGATCATAAAGAAGGCTGAGTGTCAAAGAACTGATGCTTTTGAACTGCGGTGCCGGAGAAGGCCCTTGAGAGTCCTCTGTACAGCAAGGAGATCAAACCTGTTGATCCTAAAGGAAATGAACCTTGCATACTCATCGGAAGGACTGAAGCTGAAGTTGCGGTGCTTTAGCCACTTGATGTGAAGAGCCAACTCACTGGAAAAGATCCCGATGCTGGGAAAAATTGAAGGCAGGAGGAGAAGAGGATGACAGAGGATGAGATGCTTGGATGGCATCACTGACTCAATGGACATGAATTTGAGCAAACTCCGGGAGATGGTGAGGGACAGGGAGGCCTGGCATGGGGTCACAAAGAGTGGAAAATGAACTAGAGACTGAACAACAATTCCACTCCTGGGTATGTATCCCCCCAAAAACAGAAGCAGTAATTTGAAAAGATACATGCACTCCAATGTTCACAGCAGTGCTATTTACAATTCCCAAGATGTGGACACAACCTAGGTGTCCATCAGCAGATGAACAGATAAAGATGTGGTATGTATATACAACGGAATATTATTCAAACATCTAAAAAGAGTGACATTTTGCCATTTAGCAACATGGATGGGATGGACTTGGAGGGCGTTATGCCAAGTGAAGTAAGTCAGAGAAAGGCAAATACCATATGATACCATTTATATATAGAATCCCAAATACAACAAACTAGTGAATAAAACAAAAAAAGCAGACTCACAGAGAACAAACTAGTGGTTACTAGTGGAGAGAGAAGAGAGGGAGAGACAAAACAGGAGTGAGGGATTTAAAAAATGATTATTGTGGGATAATATAAAATCATATTGGGGACTTCTGTGGTTTCCAGTAGTTAAGACTCCATGCTTCCCTGCCTAGATATCCATCAACAGATCAATGTATAAGGAAGTTGTGGTATATGTATACAATGGAATATTGCTCAGCCATAAAAAGGGACACATCTGAATCAGTTCTCATGAGGTAGATGAACCCAGAGCTTGTTATACAGAGTGAAAGGTAGCTGGTGGGAAGCTGCTGAATGGCGCCAGGAGCTCAACCAGTGCTGCGTGACGCCAGGAGGGGCGGGAGGGAGGCTAGGAGGGAGGGGACACACGTGTACTTACGGCTGAGCCACACTGCCGGATGGAAACCAACACAACACTGTAAAGCAATTATCCTCCAATTAAAAATAAAGAAATTTTTTAAAGACTCCAGGCTTCCAATGCAGGGGGCGTGGGTTTGATCCCTGGTCGGGGAGCTAAGATCCTTAGAGTGTGGCCAAAACATAAAAAATAAAATTAAAAAATCACGTGTGTGATGCTTTTAAAACCTGTAAAGCACTGCAGAATTTAAAGACTTTCATTCATTTTCAAAAAAGTTTCAAAAAATAAAAATGGTTAAGATGACAAAATTTGTATCACGTGTCAAGAACTAAAATGGTCTGTGTGTTCAGTCATGTCTGACTCTTTGTGACTCCATGGACTGTAGCCCGCAAGGCTCCTCCGTCCATGGAATTCTCCAGGCAAGAATATTAGAGTGGGTTGCCATTTCCTCCTCCAGGGGCTCTTCCTGACCCAGGGATCAAACTTACATCTCTTGGGTTTTCTGCATTACTACTAGCAACCAGCTGGAAAGCTCTGTTATGTGTATTTTACCGAAATAAAAAAAAATTTTTTTAATGACAAATAGTATTCAGAAAGCAGTGGTGATTCTGTAACTACATCAAAAACATCCAGCCAGGGCAGCACTTTCTGGGAAACCTGCTTTTCAAAGGATTACAAATGTGAACTCTTACAAAGGCATCAGCCCTACAGTTACCCAGTTAGAACCATGAAGGCAGAAATCAGAGTCAAGCTCAAATACCACAGTTTGAATCTGGATAATAAAGTCAAACTTCTTTAAAGTGACAACTAATTCAAGCAACTACCTCAGAAGTCCTCACGTCCAGTATCAATGGGGAGCCAATGAATAACAAAATGTCGATCACACTCTTAGTAAGGCAGCTTTCTTTTCACACTGTTCATGGGTTCTCACAGCAAGAATACCGGAGTGGTTTGCCATGCCCTCCACTGGAGGACCACGCTTTGTCAGAACTCTCCACAGTGACCTGTCCGCCTTGGGTGGCTCCACGCATCAAGGCTCCACAGCCTCACTGAATTATGCAAGTGCCTTCACCATGAAAAGATTGTGATCCATGAAGAGGATCAGCCTTCTTATGACAAATTGGTGGCAAAAACATCCAGCGGTTCTGAAATTGTCTTCTATAAAGTAATGTAATAGGAAAAAAAAAAAAAGTCCCAGGCTGAATAGAATTCTATCATGAGGTTACCCATATTGCATTTCCTGGAATTTTTTTTTTTTTTTTTTGCTGTGCCACACAGCTTGCAGGACCTTAGTTCCTCAATCAGAGCTCAAACCCAGGATCACAACAGTGAAAGCTAGGAGTCTTAGCTATGGTACCACCAGGGAATTTCCTGGAAGTATTTTTTTATGAAAATCAGTTTTGAAATAATACCTGAAAAGAAGGAGAAACTGGATCCAGGCATCAAAGCCTACTGCATAAAGGAAATGAAAAACCATCACTGCCAATTATCATCTCTCCGTCCGGATTAACCACACGGGAAAAACGTTGATTATGTCAGGAGGGAAATTTCAGGCTAACGCAGTGAAGCTAGCAGAGCACATGCCCAGGGAGGTGGTGCGTGGGCCGTAAGCCCCGAGGGGCGAGGGGCACCCAGGGATGCAGGCTCCTACCTCTTGGTGATCTGGCTGGGCTCCTGCAGACCCGGGTCCAGGTCGAAGCCCTCATTGTCCAGCAGCCTCCGGAGCGTCACGTCGGCCAGCTGCTCCATGATCTTGAACACCTCGTCCAGGTTCAGGAACATGGAGAAGTCCCGCTCCTTGTTCTGGGTGGTGATGCGGATGGTGTCCGTCAGAAAGACGTTGGATGTCCGCTCCAACCTCTGGACGTCAACCCAAGGGACGACAAGTTTAACTAGAAGAGAAAAAGAGCAAACACAGATTTTACCCTCAAATGTAACCCAAATTTGAATGCATCGGTGCAAAGCTTTTCCTGCAGCAGAAATGCAAATAGTTTTTAAGCCAGAGCAGGAAAGAGGAAGCGCAGAACTGCCTGGCAGCTGCTTTCATAGAACCCAATTCATGTTCTAATCATTTTCTTCAAGATTTAAGACAAGCTGCTGGCTACTGCACACGTACAAGGAACATCGTTCTGACATACCAAGTTAATAACAGGGAAACTTTCCCCCAAATGGTTAAACTGAAATATTTGCAAAATATGCAGACATTTCTTGATCCACATAAATTCTGGTTTCAATAGCTGCATTCATGACATAAGCTATGAAAAAAATGTGAGGGCAAAAGAGGATTTGTGATCTGGTTTGGAGGAACCGGCCCAACATGTAGACTGTGTCAAGTGACAGGTGTCCAAATCTTGGAAAACAGAGTACAAGTGCTTTCCATGGAACTCTTTTTAACGTAATACAGTGCTAACAGTACCGTGTACAAGCGTCCTGTTCTCAGAAATGTTTCCAGTGCCATGGCTGTTAGGCTTAGTGGCTGATGTGGAACAAATGGGGAGGGACATACAGAACAACTTAAAATGATCAATGTTATCAAATATTAGGAACCATTTCTTTTTTCCAAGTTTCACTGACTTAACAAAATTAGGTTTAGTGATGATGACTGATAACTGTTGGAAAATAATTCATTTTCTTTTTCAAATTAAAAAAGGGGACAATGAACTGTTTTCATTTCTCTCACTTCTCTCCATTTATCTTGCAATAAATGGCCAAAGAAGCTGAAGTTGATCAGTTCGATGAAGACCTACAAAACCTCCTAGAACTAACATCAAAAAAAAAGATGCTCTATTCATCACTGGGGATTGGAATGCAAAAGTCAAGAGATATTGGGAGTAACAGGCAAGTTACAAGCCTTGAAGAACAAAATAAAGTGGGGCAAAGGCTAACTGAATTCTGCTAAGAGAATGCATTGGTTATAGCAAATATCCTTTTTCAAAAACACAAGAGACGACTTTAAACATGGTCGTCTCCAAATGTCCAATACCGAAATCAAATTGATTATACTCTTTGTAGCCGAAGATGGAGAAGCTGTATACAGTCAGCAAAAATGAGACCTGGAGCTGCCTGTGGCTCAGATCATCAGTGTATCATAGCAAAATTCAGTCTTAAGCTAAAGAAAGTGGGGAAAATCATTAGGCCAGCCAGGTACATCTTAAATCAAATCTCCTATGAATATGCAATGGAGGTAATGAATAGATTCAAGAGATTAGAACTTGTAAACAGTGTGTCTGAAGAACCATGGATGGAGCTCCATTGCTATACAGAAGGCAGTGAACAACACCATCCCAAAGAAAAAGAAAAGCAAGAAGGCAAAGTGGTTATCTGAGGAGGCCTTACAAATAGCTAACAAAAGAAGAGAAGCAAAAAGCAAGGGAGAAAGGGAAAGGTATACCCAACTAAATGCAGATTTCCGAAGAAAAGCAGGGAGCAACAGAAGACAAGCCTTCTTCAATGAACAGTGCATAAAACTAGAAGAAAACCACAGAAGGGGAAAGACCAGAGCCCTCCTCAGGAAAACTGGAGATATCAAGGGAACATTTTGCCCAAAGATGGGCACAAAAAAGGAAATAAATGGTAGAGACCTAGTAGATGCTGAAGAGTTCAAGAAAAGATGGAAAGAATACACAGAAGAGCTGCAGAAAAAAGATCCAGCTGAACAAGATGATGAAGACGGTGTGGTGAGCCACCCAGAGCAAGACATTCTGGAAAGCGAAGCCAAGTGGGCCTTAGGAAGCAATGCTGTTACTAAAGCTAGAGGATGTGACAGAATTCCAGGAGAACTATCCAGAACCCCAAAGGATGATGCCATCAAGGTGCTGCATTCAATATGTCAGCATATCGGGAAGACCCAGCAGCAGCCAAAGGACTGGAAAAGGTCAATCCTCATTCAAATTCCAAAGAAGGGCAGCACTAAAGGATGTGCTGACCATCGGACAATTGCACTCATCTCCCTTGCTAGTGAGGTCATGCCTGAAATCTTACATGCTAGGCTTCAGCATTATGCGAACCAAGATCTTCCAGATGTTCAAGCTGAATTTAGAAAAGGAAGAGGAAACAGAGATCAAATTGCCAACATTCAATAGATGAAAGCTAGGGAATTCCTAGGGAATTCCAAAAACCATCTACCTCTGTTTCACTGACTACACCAAAGCCTCTGACTGTGTGGATCGCAACAAACTGTGGAAAGCTCTTAAAGAGATGGGAATACCAGACCATCTTACCTGTCTCCTGAGAAACCTGTATGCAGGTCAAGAAGCAACAGTTAGAAGCCTGTATGGAACAAGTGATTGGTTCAAGATTGAGAAAGGAGTAAGACAGGGCTGTCTGCTGTCACCCTATTTGTTTAACCTACACGCTGAGCACATCATGAGAAATGTCAGGCTGGCTGAGTTACAAGACAGAATTAAGATAGGTGGGAGAAACATCAACAACCTCAGATATGAAGATGATACCACTCTAATGGAAGAAAGTGAAGAGGAACTAAAGAGCCTCTTGATGAGGGTGAAGGAGAGTGAAAGAGCCTGCTTAAAATTAAATATTAAAAAACTAGCACCCAGCCCCATCACTTCATGGAAAATAGAGAAGGAAAGGCAGAAGTAATGACAGATTTCCTCTTCTTGGGCTCTAAAATCACTGCAGATGGTGACTGCAGCCATGAAATCAGAAGACACTTGCTTCTTGGCAGGATAGCTATGACAAACCTAGACAGTGTGTTGAAAAGCAGAGACATTACTCTGCAGACAAAGGTCCATATAGTCAAGGTTATGGCCTTCCCAGTCATCACGTTTGGTTGTGACAGCTGGACCGTAAAGAAGGCAGAGCACCAAAAAATTGATGCCTTCAAACTGCGGTGCTGGAGAAGACTCCTGAGAGTCCCTTGGACAGCAAGGAGATCCAACCAGTCAATCTCAAGATCAAACCAGCCAAACTGCTGGAAGGACTGATGCTGAAGTTGAAACTCCAGTATTTTGGTCATCTGATGCAAACAGCCAAGCTGTTCATTGGAAAAGCTTTTTCACTGGAAAAATCCCTCATGCTGGGAAAGACTGAAGACAGGAGAAGAGGGCATCAGAGGATGAGATGGCTGGATGGCATCACCGATGCAATGGACATGAACTCTGGCAAACTTTGGGAGATGGTGAGGGACAGAGAGGCCTAGTGTGCTACAGTCCATGCGGTCTCAAAGAGTCAGACACACCTGGGCAACAGAACAACAACAATCTTGCAATACTGTTTCCAGTGCTTTGATCACTTAAAAGGCCACACTTCTACATCAGGGCTGAGAATAAGCTTCTTAAGACCCTTACATTTGCTTTTATATAGTCTTTTCACACACACACACTCCATCTACCCTTGCTTTCTCTCATTAAGCAACCACCTTGGGAAGAGCCCTGCACTTAAGAAGCTCATTCAAGTAGGAAAAAAACAGACCACTGACTTGACAGGACCCAAAACAGAGACACGAGTGCAGGACAAGTTACAAGGGGAGCAGCGAAGGCTTCCGAGAGATGAGAAAATCTGAACTGAAATTTGAAGGATGAACAAGAGTTCCCAAACAGGCCTAAGAACTGGGAAGGCAAGGAGAGACAAGGTGTTAGTTTTGAGAAGCATCTCAGAAACCAGAAAACCCAGAACGGCAAGGGTCAGGTGGGAGCCGATTCCAAGGGTGGGGAAGGCTGTGCACACAGGGGGGCGTGTGCTGGGTGTCAGAGCCCAGGGCCAGGGGTGACCACGTGCAGGACACTGGCCACAGCAGAGTGCAAGAGGAGCCCTGCCCACTGGCTCCACGTGAAATAAAAACAAACGCAGGAAGGAAAAACATATACATATATATAAATATAAACACAGCATACACACCACCCTGCGTGGGCACTTGAGACAACACTTGTTCCGGAAGAAGTTTCAATGGTCATGACTTTGAACATTGCAATATACCATTGACCCTGTGGCTTCCCTTTCTTACCTCGGAATCCTGTCGCCCAGGACAATGACTGTGGGTAGAAAAAATGTGCGAGAAGTGAACTCTTGCCTGGATCTCAGGGGGTCCAGGGTGAGGAACCTCCTTCTGCAAACACCTGCGATGCTCACACCTCAGAATTCTTTAAATGGCTCCCTGGGTTCAGAAGTACAGCTTGTCCTATTCCTTTAGAACTCCTGCGCCCTCAATTACAACACCATTTTCAAAGTAGCAAAAACTCTTCAGAAGGTGCATGAAGGGAGCTACAAAGAAAGGTTCCTGAAGGCAGGAGAAGAAATGAATTCTCCTAGAATCAAACCTCTGTGGATTGCAGCTGACATATACATATTACTATGTATAAAATAGATAACTAATAAGGACTTACTGTATAGCACAGGGGAACTCAGTTCTCTGAAATGGCCTATACACGAGAGGATCTAAAAAGGAGTGGATAGGGACTTCCCTGGTGGTCCAGCGGCTAAGGATCTGTGCTCCCAATGCAGGGGGCCGGCAGTTCAATCCCTGGTCAGGGAACTAGATCCCACGTGCCACAACTAAGAGTTTGCATGTCACAACTAAAATATCTCAGAGCAGCCAAATAAATAAACTTTTAAAAAATAAAAAAGAGTGGATACATATATATATATGTATATATATATATATATGCATGTATTTCAGAAATTTCCTCAGACAACCTTAGATATGCAGATGATACCATTCTAATAGCAGAAAATGAAGAGGAACTAAACATCCTCTTGAAGAAGGTGAAAGAGGAGAGTGAAAACATTGGCTTAAAACTCAACATTCAAAAAATTAAGATCATGGCATCTGGTCCTATCACTTCATGGCAAACAGATGGGAGGAAAATGGAAACAGTGGCAGATTTTTTTTTCTAGGGCTCCAAAATCACTGCAGATGTTAACTGTAGCCATGAAATTAAAAGATGCTTGCTCCTTGGAAGAAAAGCTATGGCAAACCTAGACAGTGTATTAAAAAGCAGAGACATCACTTCGTTGACAAAGGTCCATTTAGTCAAAGCTGTGGATTTTCCAGTAGTCATGTATGGATGTGAGAGGTGGACCATAAAGAAGGCTGAGAGCCTAAGAATTGATGCTTTCTAATTGTGGTGTTGGAGAAGACTCTTGAGAGTCCTTACGACAGCAAGGAGATCAAACCAGTCAATCCTAAAGGAAATCAACCCTGATTTCCTGGAAGCACTGATGCTAAAGCTTCAATACTTTGGCCACCTAATGAGAAGAGCTGACTCACTGGAAAAGACCCTGATGGTGAGAAAGATTGAAGGCAGGAGGAGAAGCGAGTGAAAGAGGATGAGATGGTTGGATGGCATCATCTACACAATAGACATGGGTTTGAGCAAACTCTGGGAGATAGTGAAGGACAGGGAAGCCTGGTGTGCTGCAGCCCATGGGGTTGCAAAGAGTTGAACACAACGTATCTACTAAACAACAAAGTGTGTATGTATAACTGATTCACTTTGCTGTAGAATAAAAACTAACACAACACTGTAAATTAACAATGCTCCAATAAAAATTAAAAAAATAAAATCAAACCTCCTTAGTGGTACTCGTATATATAACACAATATGACTGTCTGCACAGGGCATTTGGAAATTAACCACATGCCAGCTGTTAGGTCTTGACCACTTATCTAAATCCTGCTGTCTAACTCTTCACCCAGTGACTGGTCCCAGGACCAGTGCTGAGCATCCCCGGAGCCAGCTCCACCGGGAGGGACCGCTCACGCCTGACTTACGCTCCTTGCCCAAGAAGAAGGAGTAGAAGCACAGGTGGTTGATGCTCAGGTACAGCCAGCCTTGGCGGGGCACGCGGCCCTTCCAGCAGCAGCAGGAGTAATATGTGACCAGCTTCTCGGCCTCGGGGAAGTTGAACCTGGCCTCGAACTTCACCAAGGCCTCGCGGAACTTCTCGGGCTCCTCCTCCTGCTCGGCCAGCCTGCTGCTCGTCTCCTCGGCAATCAGAGCCTGGCACACAGAAGGGGCCCGGGGTCAGGAAAAGCGCCAGGACCGTCGAGCACGGGCAGCCGTGGAGCCAGCCCCGCTCAGACAGACCCGTAGGATGGATGGGGATCCGGTCCACCCTCCAGAAACATGCCCGGAGGGGAGGAAGCAAGCTGGGGGGATCCTCAGACCAGTCTGTCTCTCGGCCGCTTACCAGCCGAGGTTTTGAGTCAGTTTCTGACTTCGAAGCCCCAGTTCTCAAATGGGTTACTACCTTATAATCCTCCCTGCTCCTCCCTCCAGAGATAGGAGGTCAAATGATGGTCTCAGGAGGTTATGCATCAACTTTGAAGCATCAGCCATGCCAGGGTTTAAAAGTTAGTCCTTTCATACAAAAGAACACCTCTATGATATGAAACAGACTCATGGACACAGAGAACAGACCTGTGGTTACCAAGGGGAATGGGGGGAGGGATGGATTGGGAGTTTGGGATTAGCAGATGCAAACTATTATATATACGATGGACAAACAACACGGTCCTACTATAGAGCACAGGGAATTGTATTCAACATCCTGTGATCAAACATAATTGAAAAGCGTATTTTTTTTAAAAAAAGAATGTGTATATATAACTGAATCACTTTGTAGTATAGCAGAAATTAATACATTATAAATCCACTATGCATGTGTGCTAAGTCACTTCAGTCGTGTTTGACTCTTTTCGACCCCATGGACTGTAGCCCGTCAGGCTCCTCTGTCCATGTGATTCTCCAGGCAAGAATACTGCAGTGGGCTGCCATGCCCTCCTCCAGGGGATCTTCCCGACCCAGGGATGGAACCCGAGTGTCTGTCTCCTGCATTGGCAGGTAGGTTCTTTACCACTAGTGCTACCTGGGAAGCCCTAAATCAACTATATTTCAATCAAAATAAAGAAATAAAAGTTGGTCTTTTATAAAAAAAACTCGTAGCATCTTCCTCAATGAGTTAAAAAAATTGGAGTGTAAAGTTGACAACTGCTGCCTAAGTGACACTAGATGCATTCACTGCTGGCGTAATCCCTCGAGTCCTCTAAGGCAGGAGAGCGATGGGGTGGCCGGGGCTCCTGAGGCTATCCACACCTCCAAAGCAAGGGGAAGGAGAATCTGAATGTACAGTTGTTTTGCTGATGCCAAATGACAGTGAGGATACTCTCTAAATCTGGGGTGAAGGGGGAGAAGGGTCTAGAATATAAGATTGTGGCCTGATCCTAATGAGGACAAAGCACTGACATTATAAGAATCCTGATTCCCATTCTTGGGACCTCACTGCACATTTTTTTTTCATTTTTCTTCTCAGAGTTTCTTCTGTTTAAGAACTCCCAGGCCTTGGGCTTTAAATATGCTATTCAATTTTGAAAATACACTTGTAATTCTGTCTTTCTATTTATTTTTATTAGCATTTCCCTTCCTTTCTGTTCTTGCAGGGGTGTTTCATGAAAAGCTATAAGACCATTTTTGGGGGGCAGGGGAAGTGGAAGTGTCAGTCTTTCAGTCATGACTGACTCTTTGCAACCTGATGGACTGTAGCCAGCCAGGCTCCTCTGTCCATGGGCTTCTCCAGGCAAGAATACTGGAGTGGGTTGCCATGCCCTCCTCCAGGGGATCTTCCTGACCCGGGGATCAAACCCGAATCTCCTGCACATGTCTCCTGCAGTGCAGGTGGATTTTTTACCTTCTGAGCCGCCAGGGGATTGCTACCCAAATCTACACTGTGCGAGCAGTTTTAGAAAATATCCTGTACATTATCATTAAAATAAAAATATAAGTTAAAGTTTCTTAAAAAATAAATCTGAAGGCTGGTAAAAACCTCAAGGGATTTTCACTTCTCTCACGATATTTTTCTTTCTTTTCCAAATTTTATTTCGCAAGACATTATAGAAGTTATAACTAAGAGTGGTATTTTATGTTTTAAAGATCCTTTTGATAAGGGTCATTTTTAAAGTCTTTACTGAATTTGTTACAATATTGCTTCAGTTTTATGTGGTTGTTTTTTGGTGAGAGGCACATGGGATCTTAGCCCCCCAGCTAGGTAGCAAAGTATACCCACTGCCTTGGAAGGCACAATCTTAACCACTGGACCACCAGGGAAGTCGGGAGAGGTATTTTTCCAAAGTTATCTAATATGTAACAAATGCTGTGCATCATGAGACGTGAAGGGGATTTTTAAGAGGCCTCTATAGCAGGCAGACAGTCACAAGGGCAGCCACACAGCTCCTGGCCTCTGTGATGGCTGAGTCAGCTCAACGCAGAGGCTTCCTTGAACGTTCCATAGAGTAAGTCGAATGGTCAGGATACAGGTAGGAAAGCCCCAACTCCCAGATGGTTTCAATCCCCCAGGACAAACAAAGAACCAACACCACATGGTGGCCCCGAAGACACAACCAACCTCTGACCAGCCGGTCCCCTCAGCCCCTGGCACCCACTCCAGGCCAGCAGCCTCCCTGGGACTTAAAAGGCACGTCTGCTGTGAAGTATAAGGGATCAGAGTGTGTGTGTCTCTGTGTGTGTATGCATGTATGTGTATGTGTGTATGTGTGTGTCTCTGTATATCTATGTGTGCGTGTATGCATATATGTGTGTGTGTGTATGCATGTATGTATATGTGTGTCTCTGTATATGTGTGCGTATGCATATGTGTGTATGCATGTACGTGTGTGTATGCATGTGTGTGTATGCATGTACGTGTGTGTCTCTGTATATCTATGTGTGCGTGTGTGTCTCTGTATATCTGTGTATGTGCATGTATGTGTGTGTATATCTGTGTGTGTATGCATGTGTCTCTCTGTGTATATGCATGTATGCATGTGTGTGTCTCTGTATGTGTGTGTGTGTGTGTGCATGTATGTGTGTCTGTCTGTGTATCTGTGTGTGTGTGTCTGTGTATGCATGTGTGCTCAGTAGTGTCTGAGTCTTTGTGACCCTATGGTCTGTAGCCCACCAGGCTCCTTTGTCCATGGGACTTCCCAGGGAAGAATACTGGAGAGGGTGGCCATTTCCTTCTCCAGGAGATCTTCAAACCCCGGGATCAAATCCACATCTCCTGCGCTGCAGGCGGATCCTTTACCACTGAGACACCTGGGAAGCCCAGAGGGATCGGTGTATGCCCCCTCCCCAAATACGCCACTTGGGCTTAATAATTATTTTGAGCTAAAGACACTTGAGAAACAGCAGATGCCAAAAAAAAAAAAGTTCTCTGCCCTTCCCCACTATTTACCTAAAAACAGGATACAAATCTCCATTTGTAAAGATGTCTCCCCATCCTGTGCCAGAAAGAGGAAGACAGCTCTTAGGCTCTGACTCATGAGAGACAACTCTGGACTCTGACCAGCATGAGGGGCACCAGACAGGAGGAGCCTACACGGCAAACCCAACTGGCATGGCTGGTCTTGCTCTAGGATCCAGCATCCGGCGGCTTGCCACCCAAGAGCTCACACTCTTTGTTCCTTTGACTCATCGCTTCTCTGTAAACATGCTATTCTTCATTATGATGCTGCCCAAGCCCCGCGTCCTAACCATCCCACTGAGCTATTCACTGTGGAGTTGTTCCCACCTTTACGTGCACTGCCCAAGCTGATAAACTCTGTTTTTCTCATTAAGCAATCTTCTGTTGGTTTAATTTCCAGGCCCCCAGTACAGAACATAAGAGGTTAGGGCAAAAGTTTTTCCCTCCCCTACTTCTGACTTTCCAAAAGTCACTGCAGCAGAAATGCATTTCCTTCCTCCTGATGAAGAGGAGAAACACCTAAATCAAAGAACCACCAGAACTAAGATGAGACCAAGAAAAGAAGGTAAATGTGAAAATAACTGTGAAACAGGTATTTCTGTCAGTGCGGCCTGACCTGGGGAACCACGCTGGACCAACCTGTGGGGGTAACACACGCGCTGAGAAAGACCCACTGGGACCCGCACCCATCTGCTAAGCCCACAGGCCACAGGGGACCGCAACAGAGGACGCCAGCCAACAGTCTCAGTCCTCCCGGTCGTCCTCCTGACCCCGTAATTATCCCCAGTCCCCGAAGGAAAACGGTGCTCCTCTTGGCCCTTTCGAAATTAAGAACGTAGGGCTTCCCTGGTGGCCCAGCGGTTAAAAGTCCGCCTGACAGTGCAGGGACACAGGCTCCACCCCTGGGCCCCAGAGATCCTACACGCCTCGGAGCGACCAAGCCCGCGCACCGCACCACGAGCCTGAGCTCTCGTGCCCGGGGGCGGCAACTGCAAAGCCACGCGGCCGCAGCCACGGAAACCTGTGCGCTCCAGGGCCCGGGCTCCGCAACAAGCAGCCCTCGAAACAGTGCGAGAGCAGCCCCTGCTCGCCGCCACCAGAGAAAGGCCGAAAGCAGCAGCGGAGACCCTGCACAGCCAAAAACAAACAAATCTTTCCCAAAAAATGAGAATTTACTCTAAGACCCTTTACTAAAAGCCAAAACACTTAGGATACTGGAAAGGCAGACTTTTTAGAAAGAGCGAGGAAAAAAAAACATCAGTGGTCTGGGATGTTTTACCCTAAGGGATGAAAAGGACATTACAGGCTAATGTGTGAAACTGTTTAGTAAGAGAGTTAAAATTAGAATGAGAAACGTTCTCTCCCTGCCTGTGAGGGTTTTCAAAGCACCAGTTACCAAGCCTCCTACTGCAGTGAGACCTGTTACATAGGACATAGCTCACAGCAGGTAAGAAAGACCTCCCCCCAAACAGTCCTCTCCCTTCTCAAAACTTACTTGGTTTTCATTTCATTCAATTAACATGTTTTAAGAATAAATATCCACTTGCAGAAAGAGAAAAGTGCTAGCTGCAACTAAATAAAAGAGGGACAAAAATGTCACAGCTGCAAAGAAGTTGCTAGTAACTCATTTCAGGAGACAAATAACATTGTTGCTATGCAAAAACATGAACCTGAACATTCTTTTCCCCTTGAGATAAACAGGGACCTTCACTTCTGTAAAGGATAAGGAAACCTTAGGCCCAAGAACTAGGGTTTTGTTCTGTTTCCATTGCGGGTGGATCCTGTCAGACTGACTCTTTAAAATTTGACTGATGACAAGTCAAACTCTTTTGGTTTCAGTGCTTCCCTGGTGGTTCAGTGGTTTAAAAAAAAAAAAAAAAACCTGCCTGCCAGTGAAGGAGACATGGGTTCAATCCCAGAGTCAGGAAGATCCCCTGCCAGAGGAAATGGCAGCCCACTCTGGTATTCTTGCCTGGGAAATCCCATGTCAGAAGAGCCGTGTGGGCTACCGTCCATGGAGTTGCAAGAGTCAGACACGACTCAGTGACTAAACAACAACAATAATTAAGCCCAGAAGTTCAATTATAGTAGAGACACTGTTAAAGGAAAAGAATATGATCAAAAATGCTGCAGGGTCCTGAGTGTTATGCAGCCGTGATAACAGAGACGTGAAACTGGGAGAAACATCGAGGTCAATGGACTTGGCTTCAGGACTTCCCTGGCGGTCCAGTGGCTCAGACTCCACGCTCCCAATGCAAGGGCCCAGGTTCAATCCCTGGTCAAGGAACTAGAGCCTGCATGCTGTACCTAAGAGTCCACAGGCTACAACTGAGACCCAGTGAAGTCAAATTTTTAAGACAGCCGGAGGGTGGGGTGGGTGGAACCTACCTTCACCTTCCCTTTGACAAAACTGGCAATGTCATCTTTATTATCAAAGACAGACAAGGTGTGGAGGAGATTTTGCTCCAGCCAGTCCCAGTGCTGGTTTATTTCCTCTAACGTGGCACCTGGGTAAGAACAGAAAAGGACACAGAGATTAAGAGACAGAACCAATGTCTAGAATACGAACTTGCTTTCCAAATAGGAGTCCTGCATTTATGTGGTTAAAACATTCCGGGTTCACGCCACAGTTTGCCAGCTGACACGGAAGGCACCCTGCACCAGGGCCACAGTCCAGCTGCCACACGGACGGGCCAGCCAACCCGCCGAGCTGTTCTGGGACCTCTCTGCAGGAGTCCTGCCAGCCTGGCTAACGGGTGGAACTCTGACTCCCTCCACTCAAGGGACCGAAACGTCTATAGTTACACAGCCATTCCAGAGCAAACAAGCCCCAGGGTGGCCTGATTCCGATGGTCTCACAGAATTCCCCCTGCAAGCACAGGGGTCCCTCAAAAGGGATGAAAATTTGCCTTGAGGTGGCTCTGCCCGTGGCCCCAGGGCACTCCCTGCCGCTGGGACATTTCCAGGTTCACCCATTTGTCCTCTGTATGTTTTCTAACAAAATCCCCCAGAACACACATAAAAAGAGGTTTTACCGTACATGTTAAAACAAAACCACAGAAACATCCAGTGGTTATCTAGTAAGTTAATTTCTTTCAAAGGCAAGTAAAAACACAATCAGCCTATTAGTGAAGCATTCCACAACACGGTTATCAAAAAGCTTAGCTGTCTGAGTTGGCGTTAGTTCTCCAAAAGGAGCTCCTAGTCCTCCCCACTGGAGAGTGGACACCTTGGCCCGGGAACTGCGCCAGCCCCTACTGATAAAGTCCAGGACTTGAAGTAAGCTCAGTCCTGGACTAGACGAGGCACCTGTGACTGGCATATCTGGCGTGGAAACAGGTGATCCCCCAGCTAGGAGCACGGCTTTGTTCAAATGGGAAGCAGGAGACACCTTACCCTCAGGGAGATGAAGGCTAGAGGNAAGGAGCTCCTAGTCCTCCCCACTGGAGAGTGGACACCTTGGCCCGGGAACTGCGCCAGCCCCTACTGATAAAGTCCAGGACTTGAAGTAAGCTCGGTCCTGGACTAGAAGAGGCACCTGTGACTGGCACATCTGGCGTGGAAACAGGTGATCCCCCAGCTAGGAGCACGGCTTTGTTCAAATGGGAAGCAGGAGACACCTTACCCTCAGGGAGATGAAGGCTAGAGGACAAGAGTGCCGAGCAGTCCAGCCAACGTGAGGGGCGTAAGGACCCACAGAGCCATGGGCCACTCACACAGAGATCAGACACGCTCTGTGCTAAGCCGACATTTCTCTCTATTATTTACAGTCTTGCTCTCCCCAGAGTGTGAACACTCGTGAAGACCTTATAAACACCCCCTGCGTTAAACTGCCAGGAAAAAAAGAAACAAGCAAAACTGCCAGAGAGCTCACCCTGGACCTGTGGTTTGGGGTGCCTATGGCGAGTTCTGACGTGCACCTTGGGAAGGAGTAAAAAAGAAGAACCTAAGAGAATACTTCATAACGAAAAGTGAGACTTCAAACAGCGGTATTTCAGGACTTCCCTGGTGGCCCACAGGTTAAGACTCTGTGCTTCCAGTGCAGGGGATATGGGTTCAACTCCTAGTTGGGGAAATAAGATCCCACCTGCTACTTGCTGAGCCTCCCCCTGCCCAAAAAAAAACACACCTAAAACACAAAGGTATTTTTTTTCCCCTGTATTCTCCAAGTGTTAGGCATGGCATCACCAAAGCAACAGCCTCTGATCATCACTAAAGCAGACTCTCATCCTTCTGCTAAGGACACTAACCACAACAAGGGGCCCCACCCTCATGACCTCATCTGAACTGAATCCCCTCCCAAAGGGCCCACCTCCAAATACCATCACACTGGTGGGGGAGGGCTTGCACACATCTGAACATGGCGGGAGGGGAAAGACACTATTCACCACCAGTGACCCCATGCAGCTCTTGGTGAGTCCACCTCTCCCCTCTTGCTCTTTCTGGATCATAAACCCAAGAAGCAGCCCACTTGGGGTGAGTGGTCATATCTCCACTTGCTACCCAACCAGGAAGCCCCTGGCCCTACAGTCTCCCTACTCCTCTTACGGGAGGGCGAGACCATTGTGAAACAACAGCCTCGAGCCACACGTTTCCACCTTCTTGCCTTGCTGCAGCTAAGAAGCAACATGCACCACCAGCACCTCTATAGGAGCCACCAGAGAGAATCCGGCCGGGGTCTCACTTGGGCCAGCTCTGCTCAAATTGGCACGGTATGACCCAGAAACACAGCCTCAGTATGTGCCAGTGCCTCTGCTGGTACTCACAGGACATCAGCTTAAGTCGGATTAAGTGCACTTCCTTGACTAGGTCATCCAGGACGTCTGCTTTATGCAGATACAACGCTACCTCTTCGTATGTGCGCGCTAAATTGCTTCAGTCGTGTCCATCTCTTTGCAACCCTATGGACTGTAGCCCGACAGGCTCCTCTGTCCTACGGACTCTCCAGGCCAGAACACTAGAACAGGTTGCCATTTCCTCCTCCAGGGAATCTTCCTGACCCAAGGATCGAACCCATGTCTCTTTATTTCTCCTGCACTGGCAGGCGGGTTCTTTACCACTAGCAGCAACTGCCAACCCCCAGCTCTTCATGTACAAAAGTTTAAAAACTTGGAACCTCCACAAAAGAAACAAACAAAAAAGCCCACGTATTTCCAGGCTCTGCAACAGGACTCTCTTGACGCCTCTAAACAATGTCCGCCTGAACTGAAGACCCACAGTGTCTGCCTGGCTCCTCACATTCAGCGCTGAGACACGTCTCATTTACTAGACTGGCTGCACTCCCCCTGTCCGTTCATTGTCTTCAGGTGGCAGCCACGCAGCTATCATTCACCAGGACACCCACTAAGTCCCATGGGCTGGCAAACGGTGTCTTTGTGGGGAGGGGACCATGCCTAAGTTCATCTGTGATGAACAGTTCAACTGTGGGGACAGCTCATCGCAGGAGACAGCCTCGGGGCCACTGCAGCCGATAAACATTTTCTTGGGCTCCTTGATGGCCAACTCTCCTCTCTTCTCCAGAACTTTAAGGTTTTCTCTCTCTAGATCTTTTTTTATTTAATTTTCATTTCATATAAGAGTACATTTGATTTATAATATGTGTCAGTTTCACGTGTACAAGCTAAGTGAATCAGTTATACATATACATATATCTATTCTTTTTCAGGTTATTTTCCCATCTAGGTTGTTACACAGTATTGAGTTCCCTGTGCTATACAGTACATCCTTGTTGCTTACTTATTTTAGGTATAGTAGTATGCAAATGCTAACCCAAAACTCCTAATTTATACTTCCCTTATAGATCTTTATTTAGCTTTTATTATCCATCATCGTAAAATCAACTAGTCAGAATATTTAAAAAACAAAACAAAAACAACAACAAGCAAAACAGGAGGAGGGATGAGGGGAAGTCAGGAAGTTTGGGATGGACATGCACACACTGTTCATTTCAGATGGGTAACCAACAAGGACCTACTATACAGCACAGAGAACTCTGCTCAATGTTACGTGGCAGCCTGGGAGGGAGGAGAGCTTGGGGGAGAATGGATAGATGTATTATGGATGGCTGAGGCCCTTTGCTGTCCACTGAAACTGTCACAACATGCCCCAATACAAAATAAAAAGCTCAAAAACAAAACAAAGGGTAAGGAACACATGGGGAAAAGAGTATCTGTATTGGTCTTCAGTCTTTTGCCGTATGTTTTCATATACTTCCTAATTTACCCCTCCTACACCCTCCCCAGAAAAAAAGAGAAACAACTCAGAGGACTGAGGAGGAACAGAGAGGGGCCAGGACTGGCTCTGCGATTTTCTGTTCCGGGCACAGCCTCACTGATGTCAAACGAAGGCTGTGCGAGGAAAGGGGGTCAGCTGTATCTCCAAGGTCACAGGTATCCGATGAAAGGCAAACCAGGGTGTGAGCTCACTCTCTGCGAACCTGAAGTACCCTGGGGTCCCTCCAGTAAGGAGCTGCATTTTCATTTTCAAGTAACACTTACATCATCCTCTGGTCCAGTACTTCCTAGGTCTTGACACCAAAAAGGTTACTTTGTGCAGAGAGCAAACACTCTGCCCACCACTTCATCTTCCTGAGTCCGTCTTCAGGGATGCCATGAGACAGCTTTTCACTGATCCTGTTCCTAAGCTCGCAGGGCCAACCGTTAGCTGAGAAACCATGCGTGCCTTCCACCTGCTAACCACAGACAACGTGGATAAAATTCCAATGGAGCCCCAACACAGTATATCACATGGAATTAAGACTTGAGGCCACATCATCCCCAAAACAAGACTTCCACCCCTTTAAAAACTTCTTCTGCCTCTCCAGGAGAAGACTTATGACAACAGAAAACCACTCTGGAGCAAAAGTAAGCTCACACCTTGAGACAGAAAGCACACCCGAATGTAACATCTATCACCGAGCGGAGGTCAGGGGAGGTGGCGGTGAAGTCCGTCAGCCTGTCCTAATCTGACTCGGCTGTGCGTCTCTCCAGCAAAAACAAACACCATGCTGGAACTTTCCCACCCAACTGTCTTCTACTTCCTACAAGAGGTGCCAAATGGCAGAGAAATTTTCCGAACTCTTAATTTCCTCTGCAGGGAAGTCTTATGATGAGAGTCAAAAATACCGTAAACCACTGCAAGCCGACTGCACACCCGAGACCTCAAAGGGCCAAAAAGGAAAGTCACTTAACGTGTATCACATGGCAAAGCCTGGACCACATGTGGCACGTGTGCTTTTCAGCTTATGAAGTAGCCTATCAGAAATCAGCTATTTTTATAAACATGCCAATTTTTTGTTTGTTTTTACTTTTTTGGACTTCCAAGGAAGTCCCCATATCACTTTATAAGGGCAACGACGGACTTAGAACATATTTGTTAGAATTATGCACAAACACATAAATATATTCCTGTCTGTGGGTCAAGGTCAAAGAAAAGTTTGAAAGCCACCCGATTACAGACATAGTAGTGGTGAAAAAGAGAGAGAGGAGAAAATAAGAAATGTGGGCTT